GGTTGGCAGTCATATCTTGTAGTGTCTCCAACCAGGCACAGTGAGGATCACGCGGTCCCCATCCTGGAAGGCGAGTGGCACCGACAGCACCCAAGCGTTTCGTGATCTCCTTCATACTCCTCCGCCAAGTCAAGCGTTGGCCACCTCTGTGTTTACGCCACTCCGAATTGGGCATGGAAAACAGTACTCTCTTCGGCAAACGATGGTTCGGCATGCGTAAAACATGTCCCAACCAACGCAGCTTCTGGTGCTGGACACATTCTTCAATGGAAGTACCCGTTGTTGTTATATGGCCGTGGGAATCGTTGTGTTTCATTAGCAGAACTGAGGTATCTTCAACTGCTGTATAACCTTTGTACCCATTCCCTTCTTGCCAGAAGACTTTTGGTGTCTAACGTTTGAGCTTAAGGTACGGTCTTTTGGTTTTTCAACCTTCATGCGATTCCAAGAAAATCGAAGAAAAATCGAACTTAGCTATTTTACTACTACCATACGTTCTTCTACCTGCTTACTTTTGCTACCCAGGCAAAGATGGATGGTCATGGACCCAACTGTGAACAAAGTTCTTGCGTTCTTATTCGGCCTAACTTGTGGGAGCCGCTTGGTAATTTCGTTTACTTCACTTCGGCAAACGCCTCACCCCCAGTAGGCTGTTGAATGTGATCGTGGCCCCATCCCAACGTCCTTTTTGGACCTTATTGTCACTTTGTGGTCGTTAGCCGTCCTTGTAGCCCATCAATTTGATATTGTTACTTACGCCAATTTTCCTTTAACTTGTTTCCATCGTTTTTATCTCGTGGAACCCACTAACTTCTTATCTCAAGTGGTAGCCCTTCATCTTCCTAATTTTCTTTCTTTCTTACTTAATTTTAACAGGATTACCACTGGATTCAACTGGAACAGGTGATGCACGTGATAGCGTTTCTACTGCTGAAAGCAATCCAGCTGTGGTCCACGCGATAACCAATATTCTGGTTACTTTGTGCTGTGCGTCTAGCAACCTAACGCACAGCCTCCTAGCCAGCGATGGGCAGTTTGCTACCACATTGGCGATGCTACTTCAGCGCAGCGAAGACGAGTCCGTTGTGTTGAGCGTTTTACGTTTGGTCAACATACTATTGGTTCTGTTATATCAGAATCCAAATGAAACAGCCAAAAAGTCTCCACCTATGTCTGAAACATTGTGTGAAGTAACTCCAAAGGCGACATCTCTCACAACAGCTCTTCCTGAAACGCTGACCTCCAAGTTAGATGAGGTAGGCAGTGAAAAGGTTGAAAACGCTTCAGCGATTGGCGGTGAGCCGGAAGTAAATACAACTATTTCGACCAAGGTCGGTGAGACATCTGCGGCCACGTTACTGCTGCCAACCGATAGAGATGTCCTACATAGACCAATTATCGAAGCCATCAAACGTCAGGATTTGGGTGCGTTCATTATCCTCAGATGACTTTTTTGACTATCATTTTGGTTATTTCCGTGGAATTGGATCTTCAGATAAATCACGCGTTTGGAGTCGAGCGTACGTATATCTCGGCGCATTAATTCTGAACGGATATGCGGTCGATTTATTCCCAATTCTGACCTAGCTGCTCGTTTAGTGCCGAAGTGCTCGGGCTAGCCCTCATTTTATGACTGTGAATGCCGATGTTTGGATGTTTATCAACTGTTTTGTAATTTTCATTTTTTTGAAACAGTTCTACGTAACCGATGTCGGAGCCTTGTTCCAGTCTGGATAACTGAATTTGGTTGCTCAGTGGTTGCTGCTGGTGTGTTGTGCTCCTAAGGGTTTGTCCGGCTTCGTAATTATTGAATCTGAGTTTTGCTTTGTTGGGACATTATGGTTTTGGAGTTTTCGGGGGATCAGATTCACCTTCGCATACGCCTTGCTTGCTGTCATACTTTGGGGCCCCCGGAAAAAGTGCCACCTTTAAGACTTCCAATTTCCTTTACACGTGCCACCTTCTAAAAAGGGGAGACCAGCTTGCGCCTTGAAAACAAAGCGTATAAGCCAGTAAACCTGTCACATTATCAGTTTCCAGTTTGGGATCATAGAGAACACTACATTGGTATTTAGAGCTGCTGTTGGACAACTCAGTTGCATGTCAAGTTTTGTGTCTCCTGCAAGCTATTGCTCTCAGTGATGGTTACTTGAATCTTGATAAATACGGAATTGTCGTGCTCTGTTTCATGATATCTCCTAACTCTGTTCACCTCAGTCAATATTCCAACTATGTCACCATTTGACGAATCATACCGTGCGCACATCCAATTAGATTGTTACATATTATGGGCAACTACGTGGAAAAAGCTCACTGTGATTGGGTCTTACGGCTTCTGCAGTCATGAGGTAAAGACAATAATTGAATGTCTGTACAGTGTCGCACGAGCATCTATATGTTTGAAGACATCTCTCATATGATCGCAAGACCTTGCTGATGAGAAATATGGTTGAAGTTATTGGTAGGCTCACTGAATGTACGTGAGCAGACTTGTGAAGTGTGGCATTGGAACTGTCACTAACCCAGGAAGTGGGTTTCAGGCCTTATATGAGCAGACAAAAGTCCTTTTTATGTAGGCCATGTGGAAGACGACAGTAGAGCAGCACAAAATGACAGAACATATAAGGCACACAAACTTACCTGAAAAATTGTGAGGACAGCTCTGTTATAAAAAAGAATATCCTCGTCTTTGTGGAGGTTTCTCCAACTTATATTGGGGGAAAACTTTCGTATCTATTTAAGAGTCTGGAAGTACACACGCAGAGTTGAGAAGACGGACGCTCTGCATAGTCTTTCATACGGAGAGCAACAGCAGAATGACGTGACAACATGTTAGCTCGTTAAAGGGGAGGGGGTTAAATTGGTAGCTTTATTTTGGAGTAGGGGTGAAGCAGTGAAGCGTGGCTGGCAACATTGATGTTGCTGTCATTGATGATGATGATGATGACGGATGAAGTCTGGATGCTGATTGAGTGCGCTCACAAGAACATCATAGATGATGATGATGATGACGGATGAAGTCTGGATGCTGATTGAGTGCGCTCACAAGACAGAACATCATAGAATGCAAAGCGCCTTACTTTTCTAAGAGTAGAGGTAAGTAAGCTTAAAGACAAAAGCCTGGTTAAAACGAAACGATTATCCGAACACCGAAAATAATCATGACATTTACGCGGGCCGCTGGATTGTATTTAAAGAGGGGTACCTCAGACACGAGAACTGAATGAAGGTTGACCGCAAAAATCTACCAAGGGGTAATGAAAAATGTGACCAGGCTTCTCAATGTCTTAAATGTAGGGTCATGTGCGTTGCTGGAGCCTGGCTAAATTAGAGGTGCTAAGGTTATACGTATTTGGAGATGCCAGTGCATCGCCCTGGACTCGGGGGTGAGAGTGAAGTATGATCGACGTTATCTTTGACGTTCCTGAGCGGATGTGAGTGCGAGTCAGATAGAAGGGGTGTATAAGAGTCATTGCATTAAGTGAATGATGTACGTGTGAACTTGTTGACGAATGTGCAGTCAAGGTGTGAGATGGTGGATGGGTATAATGCCTTGATAACGCCTGAGAAACGAATGTGGGCGTAATGTGGATTGCAGTTTATAAGTTTGACTTCCTCAACGATTGGTCCATACTTTGAGGCACAGTCAAGTCTCTTCCGCAAAATGGGTTCTGGTATAGTTAGCCAGGTCGGTATAGATAGACCACAGGATGACCGATATCCAAACCGAAACATACGTTCTGGAATGGCATTTGGGGAAGCACAGAGAAGGGATCGTATATAGTAGAGGGCGTCCGACGGAGACGAATCCCAGTAACAGATGTGAAGGTCTTTCGTCTTAAGTCCGAGCTGGATCGCGCTTCAAAGTGTCTCGTTGAGATGTTCGACCTGCCCGTTCCCCTAGTGATCATAAGCAGTCGTTCGGCTGGTACAAACTCCTCTGTTATGTAGGAATGTGGACAGTTCGTCAGCCATTAATGAGGAGTCACAATCCAAATGTACATATGCAGGCATACCAAACAAAAATAGTCGTTAATTGACCCTTTTCACTTACGTCTAATCGCGATGTGATCTTTGTTGGGAGTTGGATCGCATACTGGGAGACGCCGTATTAGCAGAGGGCTTCGGTTGTTTCGGAAGCTGGTACTGCACAGAAGATCAGTACATAACTCCAGAAGACGTTCGCCCTTGTCCGTGCGTCTCGATTTCAAACCTAGACGACCACCTAATTAAGCCTCAGCAGCGCTGTCTAACCGCTGGCGCATTCGTTCCCGGCGGCCATAACAATATCTGAGCTCTTGACCTTCCACAACAAGGTGGTCAAAGTGCCTTTGAGTGTCTCATGGCCCTAGTCGGTTGGGTCGTAAGCAGATGAACAGGCAGCGGTAATCTGTGAGTTTACGCAATACTCTCTGGCGTTGTCGAACGATACATACAGTAAGAAACATCTCTTCAACCCTGCTTCAAGAGAGATTGCGCCCTCCCTGAAGTTCTCGTTGAACAATAATACTATTCTGGGGAGGGTACAGGAGGCCTCTATTGAAAATTCCCCAACCGACTCACGTAATATTACCTGTGATTTCAGCATAGTTTGTAACCAAAGCAAACCACATCTATATCCATCACCGTCCGAGCCCTCAACTTAGCAAGACCACTCAAAAGTAGGTTGTTAATCTGAAACACCGGAATCGCTGAAGGAGCCAATCTAAGAAGTCGTGCATGTCTCCAGGTCGGTCATGGATCGACTTTTGGACGTCAGTGACCGTGGTATTCCCCTTGTCCACTTTGGAACTCTGCGGTCTGACAGGCTGTGACCCTCCCTGAAGCGACTCTCACCGACGTGAACACAATCTCTTGTTAAAACCACCCCATCAGGCCTGGAGTTAGAATTGCCATAGTCGTCCGAACCGAGCTCTCCAGAATGCAAACTCGACTGGATGATGGTGAGGGCCAATTCACAGCCCGGAATTTCGAGGTAGTTAACCGGTACTGTGTGCCGCGACTTCCAGTCCTGTTTAAGACACGCGAGATTACAACCTGCTAATCAACGTACACGGCCTCCTTTGCAAGACGGATGAAGTGGCCTTGTTTACAACTCATCAACCTGATCTTTACGACATCTCTGAAAGAGGATAGACTACCATCTTTGTCCCTTCAGAATCAGGGGTATGCCTTTTTGCAACTAAAGATGTCTCAAGTTATCGAACATAGCCCAAATCTGTCACACTAGAATCAGAACCGATACAACTCTCAAAATATGTAAGACGCGCTTTAAATTCGATTGCCTTCCCTGCATTGCAAGTGGCGCGTCCCGTGACTGCCTTCCAGGCATACGACCTTACACTTTGTGCGTGCAAAGAGCATGCCAAAGGACGGGATGACTTTGGTCAGTTCATCTTTGAAGACGAGGACAATGTTACCCGGCTGTTCCAAATTCGACACGGCTTTCGTCAGCTGCTATCTAAACACCTGGATTTTGAAGGCGTAGTGCTCGCCCCGTCATCTCGTCGATTGCGAAAGTAAATAGGAATGGGGAGATGGGACGTTCATGACGGGTACCACTTTGTGTACGAAAGTTTTGCAGAGCTCCCGCATACTGTCACATGTCACGTCTGATAATACAAACTCCCGGGATATTCTATGCTGACCAAGCGTGTCAAAGTGAACAAACTGGTCAAGTGAGTCGAACGCGCCTTGGAAATATGTGAGCGAGGAGACCTATCCGCTGAGTCGAAGCTCCCTTAGAAGTTGAAGGAAACCACTACCGTCAGTGGGCTCTATACATGATGCTGCTGAACAACTTGACATGACGTGGAGACTTAGCCAGCGCACCCGGTGCCTGCCCGAAATCCTTCCTGGAATTAGAGTCTTGTGCGATGAAGTCATTGGCCGCGTTACAGCTGTGGTAAGGTTTCTCTGAACGATCATTTTGAGTAGTTTTGAATACAGTGTTTACTGGCCTCAGTTCGGTTGGATGCATTTTTGCTCCCAAATTACTTCAAACAGCCTCGTTAGGACAAAACATGTATTCGTTGACGTCTCTGAATAATGCTGATGGAAGTCTGTTTGATCCTGTGGCCTGACCACGTTTTGAGATAGAAAGGTCCATTCGCAAGCTGAGGGATGGTCTACAAAAGCAAGCCGCTGCCGGTTAGACTTTACCCGTTGGCTCAACCTAATTATGGGTGATCCTGTGAAGTATGTCTGTCGCAGTGTCCATGCTCTCTTCATCGACTGTCCGTCAATGTCTCAGATGTCAGTGAAGCTAGGATACAGTAAGCCATTCCATGTATACTTCGGTTTCACGTGCACACCCAACCCATCTCTGTGTGGTCAAATGCTGTTTCTGGACGTGATCTGGGACCTAGGACGATTGGAGACTATTTTTTATCATTACTGTAGATTTTTTTCGTATTCGCATCACTAGTCAGTATTTGTTTTGGATTTTGATGCCCCTTTTTACAAAGAAGTCAAATGGGGATTTCGATGAGGGTACTCAGAAAAACTAAATCGGAGCAGAAATTTACCCTAACTGACATCAAACGTTGGTAATGTCACCGAGTAATGCTAGTTTCTGCTTTGAATCAGGGACTATTTTGTTGTGAAGATAGGGATCGCTGGAGGTTCTCACGATTTTCGGTACACTTTTCGGTGTTTCGAGACACTGGTGTTTGATAATTTACTTTAACTACCATGTCAGGAACTGCTAGGCAGATTTTCGGCGGTTTTGTGGACTTATTACACTTGTGATAAGTTTTTGCGTTCTCTCAATAACTGCGCCGACCTTGCTTTCTCCGTTTTCCTTTTTTTGGATCCTTTATTCCGTTGCACGTACTCGATCTTTGCGTTGGGATGAGGCTATAATAGTTGTTTCGGGTTGTTTGTACTACCGCACCCATCCGTTCGCTTTACTGTTCTTTTCATCCACTCTTCAGGAACCTCACTTACCGGCAGTTTCATCTGAATTGTCACTTTCGAGCCCTGCGTGTTGTTTCTGTCCCTCCGTTTGCCGAGTCCATCACTGAAGGGGACATCGTCTGGAAAAAGGCTGTCGGCGATCGCGTGGACTCGGATGAAGTGGTCGCAGAAATAGAAACGGACAAAACTAATGTTCCTGTTCACGCCCCTTGTGCCGGGATCATCAAGGAGCTTCTCGTAGATGATGGTGGAAAGGTTGTTGCAGGCCAAGAAGTACTCAAAATTGAAGAAGGGGCTGTTGCCTCCGCTGCCGCTGATACTGCACCTCCTGCCTCAATGACATCACCATCATCGCCGCCGCCGCCACCACCCTCGCCACCGAAAGCTCCCGTGGTAGAAACAACTGTAGGTGATAAAAAGGAATCGCCAAAGGCTCCGCAACCCCCTTCTACAAAGGTGCCCACACAGACTAAGCTTACACAAGCAGCACCCTCTACTGGTGAACGTGGTGAGCAACGTGTCAAGATGAGCCGCATGCGGCTTCGCATAGCCCAGCGTCTAAAGGATGCACAGAATACTTGCGCCATGCTTACAACGTTCAACGAGATTGATATGACGAATATGATTGAATTACGCCGTCAATATAAGGATGTGTTCGAAAAACGTCACGGAATCAAACTGGGCATTATGTCAACGTTTGCGAAGGCATCTGCTGTCGCGTTGCAGGATCAGCCTGTTGTGAACGCGGTCATTGATGGTGGGGATATAATCTATCGCGACTACATTGATATCAGTATTGCAGTAGCTACCCCTAAGGGCTTGGTAGTGCCTGTTTTGCACAATGTCGAGAAGATGAGCTACTATGACATAGAACGTGAAATTGTCGAACTTGGCAAACGCGCCAGAGACGGTACCTTAGCCGTGGAGGATATGGACGGAGGGACGTTTACCATCAGTAATGGCGGCGTCTATGGTTCTTTATTCGGAACTCCCATCATCAACCCTCCACAATCGGCCATACTAGGTATGTATGGAGTTTTTGACCGTCCCGTGGCCAAGGATGGACAGGTTGTAGTCCGACCCATGATGTACGCAGCGTTAACATACGACCATCGCCTGATTGATGGACGCGAGGCAGTTACCTTCCTTCGAAAAATAAAGCAGTTTGTGGAAGACCCACGTACTTTTTTCCTCCAAATTTAATACCTCAGTCTTCAACGACCTCCCTTAGGTGCGAATTCAACGAGAACTTTGTGGTCCTAGTAGAGATACTGTTGAGCAGTAGCGGTGCCATTCTCTTTACTATTTTGTGCATGTAATTGGCCCTTGTTCAGCCTGGTCCCATTCGTTGCAGTTGTTTGTCACCCTTGAAGAACAACAAGTCCTTTTTGTACGAATACAGTACATGTCCCGCTGTAGCCTTTTACACGTCTGCTGCGGCACCATTGCTCATTTTCGTTATAGCAACATTGAAAGATTTTGTGTACATGTGTCGGTTTTACGATCTTACCTTTCAGGTGCAAAAACAATGTGATGTGGCATTTCTGTGACACGGTAGCGTGTTTCTTTTTCGAATCTCTCTTCTTTCAGTACCAACACGTTTTCACATACAGAGCATTCAGGAATCCTCACAGTGGACTGTATGCTTGAAGCAGGGTTTGATGTGTTGTGAATTCAGTAGTTTCTATTATCAGTCGTTGTTCGAAGGAATGTCTGGGCTATTAGGGAACTTTTTTCTCAGCTGTACACACTGGATTGTGTTCTCTTCAGACCATAGCAAGCAATACTAATCCCATTACGATTCCGTTTTTCTGTGTTGAATGGCTATCCTAGTACCCAATGGAAGTGTGGGAACGTAAATGCACTCCGGTACTCCTACCCTGCACGTCAGCTATGGGAAAAATTAGCAGCCGATGTGAGTCATGAAGATCCCGGTCAGGGAATGATGCTCAAAACCTTGAACTTTATCGAACTGTTTGGTTAGATAGCAGCATTACCTTTTAGTATTCGTCGGATGGAATTCACTATCACATCGTTTCAAACTTGTTTTCTAGGAATAACTGACCTGCAGTTTAGCCTATTTGGCTTTCTTTTTTTTAAGAAAACGGTTTACTTGCAATTAGTTCACCATGTTATTTAGTTTAACGGTGAGCACAATCTTTAAGAATCAAATGAGCTAACGTCTCTGAGCTAGAAACCTATCGTTTCACGCGTCCTTTATAGTTGTCTATCACTCCACGGTCCTTGCTCCGCCCTAGTCATTTTCCATATAAGAGTGAACATGACTGATCAGGCCAGAGCAGCGACTGACGTTTACCAAGCTGACTGTTAGTGAAATGGTTAAGTATGCGTCATTGTTCCGCCATTTGTACCGATGCTTAGGTTGCGCTGTCGGTAATTAGGTTTGTTTGCTTATCAAACAGTATATTATGGGCGTGGGACCACAGATGTAAAGATGCAGGTGCTCCTAACTTCACGTTTAGGCCCTATTCCTGTAACGGTTGGCTGTGTTCATTTGTCCGTCAACTGAGTCGACGCCTTGCAACTCTTGGGAGCGCATCTCTTGTCTTGCTGAAGGGTAGTGCAACTCTGTATCGGTCCCCTGGCTTCCTGCTCCGCCCACTATGGTATATCAAAAGGTACGGTAGCTCTACACAGCCTTTATGGAGACAAGGGAAAATTATTACAACTGTATTTATAGGGTAATCACAGGGTGTTCCACAAGGTCGTGCTAGAATCTCCGTGAGGGGGCGAGAATCGTCGGGTCAAAGATGCTCGATCCGGATTAGCTGGCATTCTGACCAATCAGAGCATGCCTTCGTTTGGTCCGTGTCCTGCACGTGACACACTCCAAATGAGATGTTCGGTTATTAGGGACGGCTGGCCTCCGGACAACACCCAGATTGATAGGCGAAATTTGTAGATCACCTTTTGTCGGTTTGACTAATCAGACCTTCCACATGACACCGACTGTTAATAAGTGGTGCAAATGCAAACCCAACAGGCTAAACGGAGGAGGTGGTTTGTTTTGACACCGACTGTTAATAAGTGGTGCAAATACAAACCCAACAGGCTAAACGGAGGTGATTTTTTCAACTGGTTAACGGGCTTTTTACTCTTGTTTATGCCGACTCGGTCAAGCGGCATCGAAAACTAATAGACACGAACCGCCTATCTTTATCATTCGCTGTTTTCCGATGCTAATTGGCTTGGGGTCATGATTTGGTTTTGTTCACTGTCCTGCGTTATCAGAATCATTTGGTGAGATAAAATAGCAAATGAAATAGTCCGAACTGTGCCAAATGTTTGCCAACGTCAACCAGATGCCACCGTCAATTCGGTTGGATAGCTTCAAAGGTCTCGGGGCATAGAAGCCACAAATGTGAATTCAGCTTCAATGAAGCATGCGGTGATCAGGAAATTTCACATGTCACCACCATAACCGCGACGTCATTAGCCAGGTACTTCCAAATCCTTTTGGTTCCATGGGGCAGGTCGTACTGCTACAGGTTGTTATGATCCTTCCCTCGGATAACCAGGTGATTTTCACGTATGTACATTTCCTACCTTCCATATCAGGAAATTATTCTTTGTGATTAGTAGGTCGCTGTATATCTGGTCACCGTATTATCCAATTGACTGTAGTAGGAAGCCGTAAATTCAGCTGAGGCAACTCGTGAGTAACAAGCAGGTCTTAAGCAAAAATTTTCCACTTGCAATCCAGCTCCGATCTGAATGACTCCTGGCAACCAAACAGCCTCGCCATGCTTAAATGGCGAAAGTAAAGTGCCTCGATCAATTAGCGGGCTACATTTTCTAATCTGTTTATTATCCCTAGCCTAGTCCGAATTCGTCTTCTGAATACATCTATGAACAATTTGTCCCGCAATCTTAGATTACGAGGTGAAATTTATCACCGCGGAAACCCAGCTCACCATCGATTTCCACGTGAGGTAAATACTCTGTATCGACACGTTCACAGAAATCCCAGTAACTGCAAATCAATGGTAGTTTGAGAAGAGGTAGTAGTTTCCAATTGAAATTACATCCTGTGAGCGAAGCCAATCTATACTGAAAAGCCGAGAATCACTGTACAGCTGTTTCATCCCTACTTGGAATCATCAATGGGACACATCACGAAACCTGCGACGTTCCGGCTAGTAGCCGAACGGTTGAGTGTTCGGCCACGAGCCACTGAACAGCCAGACTGTCAGATTTTCCCAGTGCAAACTACGCCTATCAGACGTTCTTCTCAATGAGGGTTGTAATGCTACAGTGAATAATGTACCCATAGGACGTTCACTCATCATCATCGACAGCATAACATCGGTGTTCAGCGCCGGTGCTTCGCTTCCGTACTTCTGGGTATCGTGATTATACGTGGGCTGGAATACTGTCACGGCACCCAGACGTAGACGGGTCATCGACCAAAGCCTTTGACTCAAAAGTCAGACTACAAGGCATTACAAGTCCATTACCATTTTTAAAGAACATGTAAACGCGCATGTCCCAAGGAGACTATTGGTCCCAGCTCTACCGATAGACCAACCTGGTATGAGAGATTGTGTGAGTATCATCCGGATACCCCTCAGTATACCTCGATGGGTCACAAATAAACGCAAGCCGTCACATCACAGTAAGGTCCATTCGCTTCGTGACGGAGGTGCACTAAGAAAAATTTGCTCAACACTAGGCTGAACAGTTCGAACTACTCAATTAGGAGCAACACTGTGAATACTTTCTAATGGCGAGACGAAGTTAAGCAAATTATCAAGCCAGAAATTTCCGTAGTTCAGTCGGTTTGAATATGCTTGGAACCTGTTGAGAAGTGGTCCTTTCATGAACGTTTGGAAAACTGTCCCTAAAGTCATTGCTGAACAAAGTTTTGCTTTTAGCATCAGGCCAATTGACTATGTCGCGAAGTGCGTCGAGGTTTTAGCGAACCGAGGATCGATCCTCAAGATATCTCACAAATGGCTAGCCAAATAATCTACAAGAAAACAATGGAGAACAATAATTTCCATGGGATCTTGTCAGGGCAGCACATATCTAATAGTGAAGATAGGAGGTAAACGATGAAATAAACGGCTAAGATCGGTTAGTAAATGAAAAACGTGGAAACATGGACGATTGGCTTTCAGCGAAATCCAGGTCGCTTCTAAATAGACGCTGTGAGGCGGTCTAGAGGGCCATTGACCGAGTGGGCCGATCGACTCGTATCACATGACCAACGTTTTTTGCAGTCGTGCTGAGACTGCTTCGATGGTGGTCGTGCGATGTCGTCGAATCGACACCGACGATTTATTAGGTAGATGGTAGACAGCGCGAAATGATTCCTTTGGGTTCTTCTCGTGACCGGTGTGAATAATGTACGGCGCAGTTGAGCTGTTGGCCCTAGTGATTCTCCGGCAAGAGAGACGCTCTTGACAAGTTGCTCTACCATGGGCCCAACATATTCCGCTAAAGGACAGCAGGAGAAGGAACAGACAACCACCATGTTCTGGTGAGGACAGGTACCTTATCTCTGAGATGTAATTTGGGCAAAGGGATGGTTATAAAACAAGATTGCAGAGGTGCAGCCGGAAATGTGCGTTGGAGGGATTGAATCCATCGTTGAGTATCATGCTTCCAGCGATTCCCTTCTCTGTTTCTTGTTTCCGTACGCCAAGATGTGAGCGTCTTCCAAACACTCTGTGACCTTGGTTTCCACAAATGGATTTCAAGGATGGAGAGGCATATATCCTGACCGTAGCGTAATGCCCCTTAATGCGTGCGCATAATTTCCGGTTTTTTTTTCAACGTAGAATTTGTTGTAGTTGACTTGATGTATCAAATTGTTTCTCTTCGTTGTCTTAAAGTGGCATTCGGTTTGTAGGTTACGAAGGTCTCTTCTTGAGCTACTAATCTGGTTGTGAGTTCAGATATATTCTTGTTGTGTTGTAGAACTACCCATCTGGTCGCTCGATACTGCTGTTGCTTCAAGTTTATCTCGGCAAAATTCTTTGGATATCCATTGTTCTGGAATGCTCTGTGGTGCTGCAATGTGCCTCCGTCCTCTCGAACAGGGCTTGAAGGCAGCTCTCATGGTTCATTGGACGGTTGCTGCTGTAGTTCCCTATTCGATGCGTTCATGCCCCTTTTGGTTTACGCAGGTTTCCAGAGTCCCATCCACTTTTATATTCACTAAAACATCCAAGAATGAT